CTCCCTGCTCGCTCCCCGGGTTACTGACTCCCTGCTCCCTGCTCACTCCCAGGTTATTGACTCCCTACTCCCTGCTCACTCCCCGGTTACTGACTCCCCGCTCCCTGCTCATGTGTATTCTCCCCTGGTTACTCATTAACTCTCTCTTGGCTAATCAATAACTCTTCATTTGTTACTAAGGGTGGGGGTGGGTGATGTTGAGGCTGTGCTCAAGAATTTGAAATAATTGCAGATGCTGTAAATCAGGAACAAAACCAGAAATTTCTGGAAAAGCTCAGCAGGTTTGACAGCATCTGTGAAGAGAAAACAGAGTTAACGTTTCGGGTCCAGTTCTGAGGAAGGGTCACTGGACCTGAAACCGTTAACTCTTATATTTCTTCACAGGTGCTGTCACACATGCTGAGCTTTTCCAGCAACGTCTGTTTTTGCGTAGGAATCTGGGGTGAGCTCAGAGAGGGGCACCAGCTGCACAGAGAGGGGTCTGTGAGTTCATGGTTTAATAAAGTGTGGGACACTCACTCTGAGCAGAATGGTGTCAGCAGTGTGGGTGATACTGCACTGACCCTCACCATAACGCCCAGCCCCTGACCCCACCTCCCAGGCTCCAGATCAATTTGATGTTTGTTGGAAATGTGTGGTTCAACCTGCATCATATCCACAAGATCGTGGCCCTAGAATCCTGCAACACAATAAAGCCATTCAGCCTTCCAATCCTTGCTGGCCCTTTGAATAATTTATCCAATTCATCTCCCCCACCCACATTCAGCTGGGCAGGTTTTTCCCATTTGAGAATTTCTTAAGTCCTTGCCTCAAAGTTATTGTTGAAGCAGCTCCTTTTCAGGCAATACCACTCACTCCTCAGCAACCAGTTTATCACTGGGGCCATTCTCAGACCAGGTCCCCATCCCAGCTGGGGAGCCACACTCTGGGAATTGTGCTGCCAACTTGGTTAAAAATGCACCTGGATCTTTTGATGACGATCTGTGACAGCTGATCATGTGATATATGACCCACAGCAGGATTACATGTCCTTTAGGGAGGGAAATCTGCCATTCTTACCCAGTCTGGCCTACATGTAACTCCAGGCTCACAGCAGTGGGGCTGACTCTCTCTGAGCCGCGGGGACAGCGGGCAGCGACAGTCTCTAGGCCGAGGCTGCGGGCAGCGACAGTCTCTACGCCGAGGCTGCGGGCAGCGACAGTCTCTAGGCCGAGGCTGTGGGGACAACGGGCAGTGACAGTCTCTAGGCCAAGGCTGCGGGGACAGCGGCTAGTGACAGTCTCTAGGCCGAGGCTGTGGGGAAGTGACGGTCTCTAGGCCGAGGCTGCGGGGACAGCAGCTAGTGACAGTCTCTAGGCCGAGGCTGTGGGGACAGTGACAGTCTCTAGGCCGAGGCTGTGGGCAGTGACAGTCTCTAGGCCGAGGCCGCGGGCACAGCGGGTAGTGACAGTCTCTAGGCCGAGGCTGCGGGCAGTGACAGTCTCTAGGCCAAGGCCGCGGGGACAGCGGGTAGTGACAGTCTCTCTCTCTCTGTGCAGGGACGAAGAGTTTTGAGTACGGGGGCTCACACTGGCATGAACGCTGCTTCACATGCAGCCGCTGTCTTAAGGAGATCGGCACTTCCAGCTTTGTCCCAAAGGGAGACGAGATCTACTGTATCTCCTGTAACGAGAAGAAATTTTCCAAGCACTGTGTCCACTGCCGAAAGGTGAGAGTGAGATGCAGACAGTGAACAGGCAGGATGCCTTTTATTATAACATGACAGTCCCACAGACACTTATCACTGAGTTTACATTTTCACACCTGGTGAGTTATTGAGCCACAAGCTGTGGGGTCAGATTCCAATAGAGAGAAGGCAACATTGGCTAATGGTGTAAATTCCCAGTGAATAATCACAAAATACCAGATTTATACAACGGTGTCTTTCTGAGTTGCACATGGACCACCTCCCATTTGACACTGGACTGGATACAGAATGCGACAATAACAGAGACTGCACTAGTTGTTGTCAGCTCCTATATACACAGTGAGCCTACATGGGTGACCGTGAGGGACTAAGAGGAGAGAGCAGTTTATGTCGTACAAGTTTGGGGGGGGGGGGGGGGGGTCATGTTGCGTTGAGTTTATGGTCGGAGACAGAGTTTGACACTAGACTGCAGAAGGAGCTGGTTTATGCTGTACGGCTTCCCAGAGTTACACATTGTGAAAAAGACACTAGCCGTTGAAGCTATTCTGGTCCTCTTCTATTTGTGATGTTTGTAAATGATTTGGATGAAGGAGTGGAAGGGTGGATTAGCAAGTTCGCGGGTGATACGAAGGTGGGTCATGTTGTGGATAGTGCGGAGGGCTGTTCTAGGTTACAAAGGGACATTGACAGGATGCAGAGCTGGGCTGAGAAGTGGCAGATGGAGTTTAACCCTGAAAAGTGTGAGGTGATTCATTTTGGAAGGACAAATTTGAAAGCAGAATACAGGGTTAACAGAAAGATTCTTGGCAGTGTGGAGGAGCAGAGGGATCTCAGGGTTCATGTCCACAGTTCCCTGAAAGCTGCCACCCAGGTGGATAGAGTTGTTAAGAAGGCATATGGTGTGTTAGCTTTCATTAATAGAGGGATTGTCTTCAAGAGCTGTGAAGTTATGCTCCAGCTATACAAAAGCCTGGTTCAGCCACATCTGGAGTATTGTGTCCAGTTCTGGTCGCCTCATTACAGGAAAGATGTGGAAGCGTTGGAAAAGATGCAGAGGAGATTTACCAGGATGTTGCCTGGAATGGAGGGAAGGTCTTACGAGGAAAGGTTGAGGGAGCTAGGGCTTTTCTCTTTAGAACGACGAAGGATGAGAGGTGACTTGATAGAGGTGTACAAAATGATCAGAGGTATAGATAGAGTAGACAGCCAGAGACTTTTTCCTAGGATGGTGGTAGCTTTTCTGAGGGGACATAGTTTTAAAGTGAAAGGAGGTAGATATCGGGGAGACGTCAGAGGTAGGTTCTTTACTCAGAGAGTGGTCGGGGTGTGGAATGCATTGCCGGAGAGGGTAGTGGAGTCGGCCTCATTAGGGGCATTTAAGCGGCTATTAGATAGGCATATGGATGACAGTATAAGGTAGCGGTGGAGGTTAGATAGACCTTAGGTTTCAGGTAAAAGTTGGGCACAACTTTATGGGCCGAAGGGCCTGTATTGTGCTGTACTGTTCTATGTTCTATTCGTTCTTGCACTCATCAGCACTAGGACCCAAGAACAATGAGACATTATTTCACATGGCATGAGAAGATGGTGATGATTGGTTGGGCCATGGAGATGCAGCAAGAACAATCTTCAATGGCAGACAAGGCAGTTAGATTCTGATTGGTCAGGGCATTGCCATGGGCATGCAGTAGAAAGTAGTTACTGCCAGTCAGTCATTGGGATGGACAGCCAAAGTACTTGGCAACAAACAGGCACTGAAACTCTCCGATCACAGTGGTTAGCACTGCTGCCTCATAGCACCAGGGACCCAGGTTCCATTCTAGAATTGGGCACACACTCCCTGTGTCTGTGCGCTTTTGGGGTGGCACGGTGGTTCAGTGGTTAGCACTGCTGCATCACAGCGCCAGGGACCTGGGTTCGATTCCACCCTCGGGCGACTGTCTGTGTGGAGTTTGCACATTCTCCCTGTGTCTGTGTGGGTTTCCTCCGGGTGCTCTGGTTTCCTCCTGTGGACTTGTTGGGCTGAAGGGCCTGTTTCCACACTGTAAGGATACTATTCTATTCACACTTCTATTTGTGTGGTAGGCAAAAATGTCTTTGTGGCTTGACTGCAGCATCTGCTTAGTGGGCCAAGCTACACATTTACTGCACTGTAGCAGCATGATTTAAATCAGAGAGAGACTGGTTAGATTCCTGTTGTCAGGGTGAAGGAGTGAATTGGTCATGAGGGATCAGAGCTGGGGACAGGCAGCTGCTCTCCTACACATTTCAGAAATTTCTACAACGTTTGAGAGATGATGTACATCATACAGGCAGCACCATTCCATGACCAAATGAATAATGACCCGTTTACAGGGAATCTGAAGTTCTGCTTCCCCCTGGTGAGCAGCCATGGAAATGTTTGAGTCAATTAGCTTTTCGATAACATACTGAAATCTGACTCTAACAGTAACTCAGGATTAATTTCATAATTTCAATGTAGATTAATGGTGGTTATGGCCATATAACGTCTCCTTTGCCTGGTTGGGAAAGAGATGAATTTGTTGACTTCTGTTTCTCCTCCAAACATCAGGAGGTTTAAATTGAGCTCCATGCCGATAGTGTCGGTCTGGAGACCCACAAGTCCTTGGGTTTGCAGCATCATCATGTTTAGCAATGGAGCGAAGGGAACAGATGCTCAAGAGGTCAGTAACAGCAGCAGTTATCCTGGGTGAGGGAAGATTCGGAGTTAGGGAGGAGCAAAGCCATTAACAGAGCTATGGGTCTGTTCCGATCAGATTAACGTTGTGGGGGTCCTTTGGCTGATGTTACTACTGTCTGAAGTTGTGAGCTGTCTACTGTGTTTCAGACCATCACCAGCGGAGGACTGACCTATCGTGATGAGCCTTGGCACACAGAGTGCTTTGTGTGTAAGACATGCCGGAAACAGCTGGGTGGTCAGCGATTCACTGCACATGAGAACTTTCTCTACTGTGTTGACTGCTACAGTAACTTCATTGCCAAGAAGTGTGGTGTTTGTCACAAGCCGGTGACTGGTGAGTTACAGCACCTTGCTATTTTACTCTCTAAACCAGATTCTTAAAAGAGGTGGCTTTGGTGAAGGATGCCAGTATTCACCTTAGTGATTCCTTCCCTTACTCAACCAGCTTTCACACCGTGTGCACACACTGCGGGGTTTGGGGGGGTCGGGGGGGGGTGGGGCGGAGCGGTCACAGTCCATTCACAAGTCCCAGCATTCCATCAAAATCTGGAACAGCCTTTCAATGTAATTGATCAGCTGTATTATCCTTCCCCCACTGCACTGTAGCCTTCAACAGAAAAATCACCAGCCTCCAACAAATCCTCCTTCTGGACTATCTTGGTGCAGTTTCCTTCACCCATTCCACTCCACCTTCCATTAACAGGCTGTTCCAGCATCTCTGGTGAGTGTCTATGGCTGCAGCTCCTTCTCGCAAATCTGTCATTGGCTCCTTCTCCATGATGCCACAGTGCAAACACAGTCAGATTGCACTGGAATGTCAACTACCCAGCATTACCCCTACCTCAGAACGATCAAAGGCTTGTCTGACAATCACTTCAGGATTTTCCACATTATCCAGTTGAGACCAAGGTGATGGCATCTGCTGGCCACGACCTCTGTTCCTTAGTCACCAATTTCATTCCTCTCCTTGGCCTCCCTCCATTTGAATCAAATTGTTCAGTTTTCCAATAAAGGCAAAATGTTGGAGATCTGAAAACAGAGAACACTGGAAATATAGAAGATAGGAGCAGGAAGAGGCCATTCGGCCCTTCGAGCCTGCTCTGCCATTCGTCATGATCATGGCTGATTGTCCAACTCAACAGCCTAATTCTGCTTTCTCCCCATAACCTTTGATCCCATTCACCCCAAGTGCTATATCTAGTCGGCTCTTTAACACATTCAATGTTTTGGCATCAACTACTTCCTATGGTAATGAATTCCACAGGGTCACCACTCTTTGGGTGAAGAAATGTCTCCTCATCTCAGTCCTAAATGGTCCACCCCGAATCCTGATTGTGACCCCTGGTTCAGGACACATCCAGCACTGGAAACATTCCCCTGCATCTACCCTGTTCAGTCTGGTTAGAATTTTAAGTCTCTACGAGATTTCCCCCCTGTCATTCATCCGAACGCTCGCAAAAACAATCCCAACCTAGTCAGTCAATCTCTCCTCATACATCCGTCCCGCCATCCCCGGAATTTATCCTATTAAACCTTTGCTGCACTCCCTCAAGAGCAAGTGCATGCTTCCTCAGAAAAGGAGACCAAAACAGCACACAATATTCTAGGTGTGGCCTCACCAAGGTCCTGTATAACTGCAACAAGCCATCCCTGCTCCTGTACTTGAAACCTCTCGCAATGATGGCCAACATACCATTTACCTTCTTTACCACCTGCTGCACCTGCATGCTTACCTTCAGCGACTGATACACAAGGACAGCCAGGTCCCACTGCACACTCCCCTCTCCCAATTTAAAGCCATTCAGGTAGCAATCTACCTTCTTGTTTTTGCTTCCAAAGTGAATAACCTCACACATTTATCCAAATCATATCATATCTGCCATTGATTTGCCCTCAGCAGGTCTGGCAGTATCCATGGAGAGAGAGGCAGAGTTAAGTTCAATGGAACACCAAAAAGTCAAATTGAGCTTGAAACATTAACTCTCAAGTTCTTGGGAGCAGTAACATGCACTGAAGATAAAGGAAAACCAGTGGATGTATAGTATTTACATTTCCAGAAGGCATTTGATAAGGTGTCATATCAGAGGTTATTGCAGAAAATCTCATGGTGCATGGGTAACACACGTGAATGGATAGAAGATTGTTTTCCTGTTAGTGAGTCAGAGTAGGAATAAGTGGGTCTTTCAGGCTTGCAGGATGTCACGAGCGGTGTGCCACAGGGGTCAGTGCAGGGGCCTCGGCTCTTTACAATTTATGTAAATAATTTGGATGAAGGGATCAAAGGTATGGAGCTAAATTTACTGATGACACAAAGATATGTAGGAAAGTAATTTGTGAAAAAGTTGTGAAAAAGGACAAAAGGAGCCTACAAAGGGATATAGATAGGTTAAAAGAGTGGGCAAAGATCTAGCAAATGGAGGACAACATAGGAGAGTATGAAATGGTCCGTTTTGGCAATAAGAAATACAAAAGCAAATTATCTGAATGGTGGGAGGTTAAACAGAGATTTGGGTGTCCTCGAGTATGAATCACAGAAGGTTAATATGCAGCTACAAGTGATCAGGAAAGCTAATGGAATGATATGGTTTATTGTAGGGGAATTTGAATGCAAAGTCAAGAGGTTATGCTTCAGTTATACAGGGCATTGGTGAGACCACATTTGGAGTAATGTGTACAGTACTAGTCATGACACTTATGGAAGGACGTTAATATATTGGAAGCAGTTCAGAGAAGGTTTACTGGACTATTACCTAGAATAAGTGGACTGCCTTATGACGAAAGGCTGGACAGGCGGGACCTGTATCCTCTGGAGTTTAGAAGAGTCAGAGGTGACTTAATTGAAACAAAAAGTCCTGAAGGGACTTGACCAGGTGGATGTTTAAAAGATGCTTCCTCTTGTAGGAGAATCTAGAGCCAGGGATCATAGTTTAAAATTACAAAGTGCCCATTTAAGACAGAAATGAGAAAACATCTTTCGGAAGTTTGAGTGTCTTTGGAATGCCCTTCCTCAAAAGGCAGTGGATGTAGAATCTTTCAATATTTTTAAGGCAGAGGAAGATAGATTCCTGATGACTAAGGGGGCGGGGGAGGGATGGTGGTGAAAGATTATCAGGGGATAGCAGTGTTTGCAGGAATATAGAGTGTTAAATAGATATAGATGTTAAAATCAGATCAGCCAATATCTTATTGTTTGCCAGGCTTGAAGGGCCAAGTGGTCTACTTTTCCTTGTTTGCATGTTGTTTCATGGTTCCAACTATAAACCATGTATGATACTATTTTTCTGTTATGTTGCCCTGTTCCTAGGGTTTGGAGGAGCTGAGGTTGTAACCTATGAAGAACGTCAATGGCACAGCGACTGCTTCAAGTGCAAGAAGTGTTACAGCTCCCTTATCAACAAGCGTTTTGTTACCCACAACAGGGATGTGTACTGCCCCGACTGCGCAAAGTCCCTGTAAATCCTGGCTCATGCCACTCAGTAATGCAAAACACTTGAATGGCACTTGCTGTTCAGATCCATTAACCTGTTATTGCAAAGCTTTAGAAAGTAACCAAATGCTTTTAAGGCAGTACAATAGCACTTGCTTGCAATCGTTTCAGAATTTCTTTACTATGACAGTCGTATTTCCAGCAATGCTAAGTATTAACCTCCAGCATGGAAAATAGCTAAAGGTTTCAAATAAAATCTTAAGTTTAATTCAAATGGCTGCAATAATTTTGTGACTTTATAAATGAGCTTCTTAAAACTGTAAAAATAATAAAAAGCTTGAATAATACTTAATCATATACGATGCTTTTGACTCTGTACTACTGTGGTATTTGACTGCATGCATTACTCACCCAGGCATCTTGTCACTTCAGGGGTCGGTTTTTTTTTCTTGCAATGAAATGTACTGGTTTAAAATTTAAATCAGTTTCCATCCCATAATACCATATGCAGGATGCTGCGGAACTATGATTGCTTTGAGATATTTTCGTATATGATGTGGATCACATACAATTCAAGCTGTATCAGGCTTCCATGTCGATACTGAAATGTTCTTCCATGGTGATACTAAACAATTTGGATAGCAGACTGATGTTTTTTGTTTTTATCCAGCCTCAAAACAATTAATGTTTTAAACACACAACTGTGCAGGCGTGAATGTTCTTGTTTATATTCCAGTGAATACACATTTGTTCAGTATGTACCTTTGGATTTGTTTGCACACTAATGATAGTTAGACTCCAATTTACTGTTGCTTTTGCAATGACTAACCATGTTTGCCATGTGGAAATATGTAAATGGAATAGTGTGTGACCTCATAGCATGCGGGGTCACTATCCAATTCAGTACCTGGACAATCAATGAATTATTTGCAGCATGATGACACTGTGCCTTAATAAAAGGCTTTCAAACCTCCATGCAGCTATGTGCTTTTTGGAATTAGATAACTAGCTTTTCAGTTCAGAATGAGCAGTGATGGGCACAATCTGCTTTTTTCACCAGAGTTACATGAAGATAAACATATATCAAACTGACTCCCACAGCTCTGAGGACACTGATTAGCAGGGGATCCAAAGAGCAGCAAATAGATGTAAAGTAATTGGCAGAACAATTGGGGATATGAGGAAGAGCTCCTTTAGTCAGGTTTAGGCTCTGACCTGACATGACCTGAATGGGGCAGGACAATTCCATTGGATTTCTGAAAAGGTAGGATAAAACAGCTGAGACTAACTGATAGGATATCAGGGAGAAAGCTGGGATCTTTGACTAACTTGGAAAGCTCTATCAAAGGGCTAAAATGGACACAATAGGCCAAATGGTCACTTTCTGCACTGCGTGATTCACAAATACTCAGCGCATAGATTCCACTAAATGTACAGAAACAGCCATTACATCAAACCAGTCGGTGTCACTGTTTCTGCTCCACACAAATCTTTTCTCTGCATCATCTTACCCTATCAACATATCCTTCTATCCCTTTCTCCCTCATTTAACTTTCCCTCAAATGTACCAATAGCCTTCAAGTCAACATAAGAATTAGACCATTCAGATCCTGCAGTTTATTTCACAATTGAATTCCACATTCTCTGGGTGAGCAGGATTTCCCAATGGGATTTATGACCGTCTTGCTCTCTCACTTTGCGGACTCCTAGTTCTGCTCTCTTACAAGCACTAGTCTTTTTCCCACATACCCATCAATCCCACTACTAGCATTATCCTTGGCCTGAATGATAAAGATTGAGCCCAGCAATACTCATTGCTCACCATCTTTCACAGACGGAGATTCTTTATCAACATCAATAGGAAAAGAAACTTTAATATTCAAAGGAAAGTTGTCAAGAGTAAAATTAAATGGTAAACCATGTCCATTTTTTATTTTGTAAAATTGATTGAAGTGATACACAGATTTTGCTATTTACATACAGCTGTCAACAGGGCACTGAATAAGAGTAATGAGCACAGCCAGAGGGGACTTCAGTTGGCGATTGTCATTTTCTTGCAAAGGTTTCAAGTTAACTATCTTACAAAAATACACTCAATGGTTAATCTAAGGCACTGCTCTAGTCTAACTCAATGCTGCATGTAGTGAGCTCAACAGTTTTCAGCATTTGATACAGACTAGAAGATTCTGATATCTAAAACCTGCACCAAGGGAAAGATTGACAATGCTCAGCTAGGAAACAAACTAATGCAATTGTAATGAGTAGTTTAAACAAAGAAAGAGCAGCCATTGAAGAAACAGCTTCCCTTTAAGAGGAGTGGACATGGCTAAGCAGGTAATCATTGCTGGCCCCGTGGATGAGGTTAACAGGGAACGTAACATAAATTAGATAAAGAGGTAATAGCTAATAAATGTAACAGATGGGGCAAGTGCAGTAAAAAGAAGGCAGCTTCCTATGCAAGGTAGCAGCTATTTAATTCCATAAGCTAAGAAAACATACAGTTTCACTTCAGATTTGTACGTGCAGAGAGCACGTGGATATGATATGAATTAGCAAGTTAAGGGCCACAGTGAACAGGTGGTTTAAACTTGCTGGATGGTGTTGGCATAATTCTCAACGATACAACCCCTAATACATGAAGAACATTTAAAAAAGGTGTTCATTAAGAAATGGTTTTGGTGGCCCAATACTGCCTGTATGTACAATAATACTTAGATTTATATGGAGAAACTTAAATACATTAAACAAAGAAAACTTATCTTAAAACGAGTCAAATACATGTAAATATTAATTTGCTACCTACAAATACTTGAGTTTATCAACTGAAGCCATTTCATTTTTAATGTACGTTAGTAGTGCAGGCTTATTTGAAAATACAGTATTCTAGAAGGTTTGACATAGAACAGGAGTATGTTTAAATAACATTAGCTCACAATTTGGTTTCCTATTGCAGTACATGTAAGACACAAACTTTGTAAAGAAACACCAACCAATATTTTCATATTAGAAAGCCTAAGCATCTCTCACCCACCTAGCATACTTCTTAAAAACTAGCCTCTCCTATACCATTAACTCTTTGTCCTAATGCAATGCTCATGGAATTAAATCTAAAAGATCCAGATATTGCAAAGTATGGCTGGAGAGGGGGTGGGGTGGTGGGGAGGAGAGAGAGAGAGAGAGGGCGTGGCAGAAGACAGAGGGGAAAGGGGCGTGGGGAGGGGTAGAAAAGAGGCAGACAGAAGAATGGTCACGGGGTGAGAGGTGGAAATGGGCTGAGAACTTTCTTTAGGTAGAATACTCTCCCAAAGGACAAAGACTTCAGCCACTAAAAGTGAGCAGAGCACTTTAAAGATCACAAAATCAAACCTGTGTCACAAACAAATTTAATTTTGCAATTCTAACAAAACATGTCTCAGCTCTGAATCAGAATTGAGAATTTCCTCTTTAGTTCCATCACTTCTGTCAACAGGTTTATTTTAACACTTTCTTAAAAAAAGTAAGTTTTAACAAATAGAACTGGGATAATTCCACTGCAAACACTGAGGTATAGACACCCTTTGCCCTGCAGTTGGGGAGATGGAACATTCATTCAGGATGTGGTATCAGACCAGAATGGCAAATGCCACTAGAATGAAAACAAAGCTGGCCTGAATATCTGGTCAGACAAAACAGTGTAAGGAAAGGAATGAAATGTCACCTGATTACACTCACTGCCAAAAGCAGATCATAAAAATCAAAAGAACTATCAGCCACTGAGGAAACAAACAATGTAGTCAAGGAATATGCCCCTGAAACTTTGAACGGTGCAAATGAGCATCTCTATGTGACATTTCATATGCCATCTTTGTTACGATCCTGTTAATTCTTCTGGGAAAGAGGAGGAAACTCCAGAGAAGCAGCTTCATGTAACAAGGCCTTCAGCACGTCGTAAAAATACTGAATATGCAAGTGCAATCACAAGTGATGTTCAGAATCAAGCTGTTTAGAGTCCTGAGAACACACAACAAATTGAGAGGGTTACGTACAATACGAATCTACAGAACAGGGGAAATAAAACTCTGATGTTTTTTGCTGCACAGAAACCTCCTCTTAACCCATTTGATCTCATTCTGTATCAGCATATCCTCTTCTCCCTCGGATGTTTAGTGGCTTTCCCTTAAACAAACTCATACTATTTTGCTTAACAGATCTCATATGTTGCACATTCTCCACACACTCAGGATAAAGGAACTTTTTCCCAAATCTCCACTTAAGATTCACCATCTTAAATGGCTGACCTCTAGTTTTGATCTTTTCAAAAATGCGATTATTTTCTCTACGCCTATCATATATTTGAAATTAAGCCGAAGATCAGTTTACAGTTTTTAAAATGGTCTTATAAACTGCATTACTCCTTTTACAGACATGCACATCTGTACCCCTCTTTGCTCACTCCTCCTTTTGAAGTGTACCACCTCCCACTGACCTCAATTGAAACTGGTTTGCTGTTTATTATATTCTACTGTAAGGAATTAAAACATCAAAGCATGCCCTTTCAGGATGGCAAACTGAATTCCACTTTAAATCTTAAAACGATGAAAGGCTTGCTAGAAGGGAACTTATTTTGTTCAACTTGAATATCACCAGACGGGCTGATGGGATCCGGGCATTGTTGGCTGGACCAGCATTTATTACCTGTCCCTAGTTGCTCTTGGAGAAGTTGGTGGCAAGATGCCTTCCTGAACTGCTGCAGTCTGTGTGCTGTGAGGTGACTCACAAATGTTCTTAGAGAGGGAATTCTAGGATTCTGATGCAGTGACACTGGAGGAATAGCAATATATTTCCAAGTCAGGATGATGAGTGGCTTGGAGGGGAGCTTGCTAGGGGTGGTGTTCCCATATATTTGCTGCCCTTGTCCGTCTGGTTGGAAGTATTTGTGGGTTTGGAAGGTGTTAAGGAGCTTGTCAAATTTCTGCAGTGCATTTTGTAGATGGTAAACACTGCTGATACAGACTGCCAATGATGGAGGCAGTGGATACTTGTGGATGTGGTGCTAATCAAGCGGGCCGCTTTGTCCTGAACGGTGCAAAGCTTCTGGAGTGTTGTTCGAGCTGCACCCATCCAGGCAAGTGGGGGGTATTCCATCACACTCCTGAGTTGTGCCTTGCAGATAGTGGACAGGCTTTGGAGAGTCAGGAAGTGGGTGACTCGCTGCAGTATTCCTAACTTCTGACTCACTGTTGAATATAAAATTATTATTTTTGGATATGTTAGTACATTGTGTCTTCCATTCACTCTCAGGTTGATCCATAGAAATCTGATCCAGTTGAGGGATGGGCTAGGCCATGTTGAGGGCAGCAGAGAGTACACCATGGTCTGCAGGCACGTACTGGCAAAGAGTTGGTATGATGGTACCTTTCCTTCTCTGAAGTGTATGACTGAACCAGCAGCTTTATGGCACTTTTTCTGATAGCAGATTTCTTAAAACTATTCAAGTTCTCAAACTGCTACAATGGGATTGAATTCCGGTTTTTGGAATAACTGGTCCAATGCACAACACTACTGTACATCAATTTCTATCAATCTTAATTGGATTGGTTACAGAGTCATCTTTAAACGATGCCAAGAATCAGGACGAACTTAACCTCTATTCAGAAAACACTGTCGGAAAGTCTTGAATCAAACTCTACCTGATGTTTCCTCAATAGGTTTGGTCAAGGATGTCACTCTTCCTCCATTCTCTTCAAGTGCATTGATACAGCTCTCAGAAATGCCAGCAATATCGATCAAGTTTTGGTTACAGTCATCAGCACTGCAGGGAGTGACTGCTAATTTGGTGGTCTTTGAACAAACATCAAGGTCCATATAATCCTTGAGGATCCATGTACTACTCGCTTTTCCATTCTGATGCCCAACACTTCGATCTACTTCATTTACATGCAAGAGTTCAGATACAACACAGTCTTCCTTTGGTACAGGGCTTAAATAGGAGAGAGAACAGGATGAGAATGAGGTGGCAGCAGTCACAAGATTTACAGCAAATAAATTACACCATTTGACTACATATTTACCTGTTATTCTTACTATTAGGAAAATTACAGACCACTGGCGTCAGTTTAGACAGGGTGAAACAAACACCGAAAATGCTGGAGAAACTCTGCAGATTTGGCAGCACCCACACAAAGAAAAACAGAGTTGATGTTTTGAGTCCAATGTCTGTGTTTTCATATAGCTTATAATTCTGTTCAGTTTCTCTAAATTTAGGTTTTATACAGCTGATTAAGCAGAAACAATGTGATAACACTGTCTGTATACAGAGCCTCAGTTACCCCCACAGCAAGATCTAACAAGTAGAAAGGACACGAATGGCCCAATACCTAAACCACCAAATCAATCTTTATAAACAATGCAGCTTGTAGCTCCCCAGATACTGAACTGGGGCATCAGCAAGGGTTGAGCACTGAAGGGGATGAAATATGAACACACAACTTTTCACTCACCCTGAGAATGTAACTGCTAAATTAAGCAGACACTTGTTTCGGAATTCAAATATACCCTGTCATTTATTAACAGACATGTAGATAATCCTCATGCTCCTTAACTAGCAAAATCCATGATTAGACAATACCCAGGGGCCAAACATTTAACTCTCAGACGTACAAGTAACCATCAACATCATTGCTCTGGTGCTTTGGCAGGACTGTGATAATGGATTACAGCTATATACCCTTCCAGCCATCTCTTGGCGGGCAGTTCAGTGACCAAGCACTGGTGCGGGACAGATTCATTGAAATTATCCCACACAATCGTAGAAGGTGTAGCACTAACCACTTCACCTTCTCCCTCGCCCTCTCCCTCCCTCCCTACCTCCGTGCACACACCTTCCAGGCAAAGCAGCGATTGCGCATACTTCTTTCAATCTAGTTTACTGTATTTGCTACTCACAACGCAGTCTACTTTACAGAGAGGAGACCAAACACAGACTGGCCCACCACTTTGCAGAAACAATGTGCGCTCTGCCCACAGAATGGCTACAACTCGCCAGCTGCTTGCCAGTTCAAAAACCATCTTGCTCCCATGCTAATATTTCTTCCAGTTTCTCACAGTCCTTGCATGTTATTTTGTATATTAAAAGCAGAACAGGAGCATTTATACAGAGTTTTTAAGAAGGAATGGATACCCAAAAAGCACAATCCACCATTACCTCTGTAACGGACCACAACAAGACGACACAACAACGGCCAGACACACGAGTCACCCTACTGTACATCAGAGATGACCACAAGACTACTCAGACCCCTAGGCATCAGGGTAATCCACAAACCAACAACCACCCTACGACAGCTACTTTCATACTTAACGGACCCCAATAAAACTAGTGTCATATACAAAAATACCATGCAAGGGCTGTGAAAAACATTACATAGGCCAAACTGGAAGAAAACTGATAATAAGGATACACTAACACCAACTAGCCAAGAGACACGACCAATTCTCGCTGGTCTCAATACACATGGACAAAGAAGGACATGAATTCGTCTGGGACAACACATCCATAATAGCACGAGCCAAACGGAGACATGCCAGGGAATTTCTGGAGGCTGGGCATTCCAACCGGAACTCCATCAACAAACACATTAAACTGGACTCGATACGAAAACCACTGACAAACAGAACCGGAAGTAATGCCAACCACCCCAGCAAACTGAGGCATATCAATATGAAGTGGGACAGAACACCAACGCTTCACTGGAATTGCACTGACGATGTTACCTAGCAGGGTGACGAAACATCTGCAACCAAACTCACCAGCTCGGCGAGCAAGTCTACAACCTCATCCACAACCCGAGCTACAAATCTCCTCAAAAACTTCAGTCAGAGACTTCTACAGCACGGAGACAGGCCCTTTGGCCCATGCCTATCCACCTGCGTTGCCACCTTCAGGGTACAATGGACCTGAACACCCAGGTCTCTGTGCATCAAATTTTCCCCAGGGCTTTTCCATTTACCATATAGTTCGCTCTCGAATTGGATCTTCCAAAATGCATCACCTCGCATTTGCCTGGATTGAACTCCATCTGCCATTTCTCCGCCACTGGCATGATTAGAAAGTTTGCGGATTACACTAAAATAGGCGGTATTGTGGACTGTGAGGAAGTTTATGCAGTTTATACCAAATCATTGCTGGGTCCATTGCTGTTTGTTATCTATGTCAATGATTTGGTATAAACTTCAAACTTCCTCACAGTCCACAATACCGCCTATTTTAGTGTAATCCGCAAACTTTCTAATCATGCCTTGTACATTCTCATCCCAATCATTGATATAGATAACAAACAGCAATGGGCCCAGCACCGAACCCTGAGGCACACCATTAGTCACAGGCCTCCAGCCCGACAAGCATTCTTTCCACTATTACTCTCTGCTTCCTACCATCAAGCCAAGTGTGTATTCAATTTGCCAGGTCTCCCCGAATTTTATGTGATCTAACCTTCCAGAGCAGCCTACCATGTGGAACTTTATCAAAGGCCTTACTGAAATCCATACAGTCTACTTCTACTGCCCTGTCCTCCCCTCAACCTTCCTGGTCACTTCAAAGAACTCTGACAGATTTGTGAGGCATCATCTCCCACACATGAAGCTACGCTGACTACTCCTAATCAAACCCTGTCTTTGCAAATGCACGTATATCTTACTTGAAGATTTTGAGGTATCACTTACCTACCACAGATGTTACGCTTACTGTTCTATAATTCCCAGGATTTACTTTGCAGCCCTTCTTGAATAAGGGCACAACATTCACTACCTTTCAGTCTTCTAGGACCTCACCCGTG